ATTCACTCAATGTTTAGTGTTGGGAAGATAAACGTCGCAGGAGATGTAGCACTGGTGCTATTATTGACAAGATGTCGGTAGGTGTAGGTTGCCCGTGTAGAGCCAAGTGTTTTCTGCATGTAGATGTTTTTGTAGAGATAAACAATTTACAGAAAAGATATAATGGATTAATTAAATTTGTATTATTAGTGATTAATGTATATTAATTCGCTGTAGGTTTAAATATATAAATATATTTTTTAAATTAATTAAATAATTTTAATTGTAACATTAATGGTTTGATTTGCTGATGTTGATTTATATTTTGTAAAGGTATCAATATGTACCAAAATATTGATATTGAGTTTGTATGCTTTATAATAAAGTATAGTTTATTGGTTGTTAAAATAGTATCTATTTATTATTTCTGCTGACTATTAAAGACATATTTTTGTGTATTACATAGGTATACACATTATCAGTAATATAAATTGATTAGATAATGATAATATAATTTTCATTTAATTAGGGCCATTCAAGCTTTATCACTCATTTGGATTGGTCAAAAGATAACGAGTACCTTCGCAGTAACTCTGGAGACTATGAGCTGTTATATTGTAAGCAACAATTTTCATTTAATGCAAAATCAAAGATCTTGTAGTGGTTACCTATTATAATTTGTGTTATTAAATTTATTTTTATTTATTTTAACTAGGGAAAGTGAAAGTTTGTCGCCAAATTACTCACAGTACTCAACTTAGAGACACAGTGTGGGCATCTAACTCTTGTGTCTTGACATTTTCCTCCATCGGAATATGGCCTGAAGGAGCTGATGGTACTGATGTTAATGCATGTGAACGATCTAATGGATCTAAGCTGATGGCTACAGGGGACGATTTTGGTAAAGTGAAATTGTATTCATACCCAGTCAAACAACCTAAGGTAAAAACAATAACAAGTAATAATAAGCTATTGTAATTACTATGTATTAAAACAGTAATTTCAAAACCATTTTAACCATAAAATTTCTAAAACATGTGGTAACAAATAACTTTTGTTATATAGAGGTTAATAAATTGTTTATTTTTACTAACTCTATACATTTAGTTATGATATTATTTTAATTACTTATCTTTATTGTGTCATGATTTTGTAATTTGTTTTTTACAGTCGTTGTGTCATGTATATGGAGGCCACAGCAGCCACGTGACAAACGTGACTTTCTTGCACGACGACTCCAGACTGATATCGATTGGTGGCAAAGACACCAGTGTCCTACAGTGGGAAATCATATAAAAGAAGATTGTTAATTGAATCTTATTATTATTATTATTACTATTACTATCATCATTATTATCGTTCAAATTATTCTTCACTATTAAGAGTAAAAATTAATTATTGAATCCATAATTATATTTATTATTGTTTAGTACATTTTTTTAAAATAATATTCACTTTAGCACTAATACACTATGTGTATGTATAATGTGTTTGTGTTATTAAAATGTTCTATATTCGTTATTACACATTCAATGTTATGTCGACAATTATTCATAGAATAAATTATTATTATTATTATTATTATCATCATCACTTGTTTTTTTTCCGTCGAATTGTATGAATTATAACAACATTATTATTATTACAATGTACTTTTGTTTTAAATAAATAAACGTAATATTTATGTGTCTATAGTTAAATTTTCTACTACTTATTTTTTAATTATGCTCTTGTACTCAGATTAAGATTTATCAATTCATTTAATATTTTGTTAGTAAAATCACAGATTGATACAGCATGTAACTGCTGAAATTTTAGTAAACATAAATGGTTTATAGCAAAGAAAAACACGAGTGCACTATAACAATTAAATTATGCTTAGAAAGAACTTATTATCTACAATCACTCAAATCTATCTAGTAATGTTCATAAACTCATTCATTTACAAGAACATTAGTGTTGATAGAGCAAATCTTTTAAATTTTGTGTGACGTCAATATTTTCTTTTAAACATATTGTTTATATAATTTTTTTTTATTATTCATCTTATTAAGGCCGCATTAGGTGGATCTAAGTATTTAAGCCAGATCCTAAGTGGATAGAAACAGTAGGTTTTTTTTTTGTGTAAAGTATTTTGTTTGTAAGGTTTATTTAGTAGGTTTGGAACACATGTGTTTATATTTGTGTGCCATGGATTCATCATCAAGAACTCGGGTGATCACCCATCTGAAAACTAGAGATGCCGGCCAATGTTTGACCTCAGAACACATTAATGACTAAGGCCAACCACTGCGCCACATCAGACACATATTATATTCATTTAGTAACAAAAGTTCACAATCATTGTCCATAGCAATTATTCAGAAGTATTTGTATTTATAAACTAACAAAAGATAATAAAATTATTCTTTGATTGAAGAAATAATAATAGATTAAACTATTATTATATTTTAAAATTTGTTTATGATTTAAATTGATTTTTTAATCATTTATAATTGTAATTTTTAAATGCATCATACCATGAACAAGCCATTTATAAATAGAAAATGATAACATTTTATAAGTTTTTATGGTATTAAAATTAATACTTTTATAAGTTATGAAAAATTAATTTTGCAAAATCTATAATTTATTATAGAAATTATAATTATAACTATAATTTATTTAAAATTATATCTTAAATAGAAAGATTAAACAAAAGACAGTTAAATAATTAGTTATTAAACCTCAAAAATTAGGTTAGAAATATTTGTGAATATTTAGAAATGCTTGCTCATAAATTCTTAAAGCTCATAACTCATAAATTATATTTAATTTCAAATTGGATACTGTAAGTTATAAGAACAAGGTATCAAAAAAGATAATTCACAAAACAAGTGTTTTTTTTTTTTATGTTGATACTTTTAGCTGTTATTAAAAATTACAAGTTATTTAAAAAAAATAATAACCTTAATATTTAAATTCATTCTATAAAAATATAAGAATTACCTTAAATTATGTATTAGAGATTGGGAACCAGCAACCCTTTGAAGTATACATCACTATTCACTAATAAGACCCATAAAATATAGATTAAAATTTTTTTTTATAATAATGCCTATCAATTTTCACAATTTACAATGAAATTGTTAAGTGAAATGTATTAATCATTATTTGCAGTATAGCAAGATTTTATTTATTTTAATCAATGCGGTTCTTTGAAAATCATGATTTTAGATTTAATTGAAAAAATGGCTCATTTATACAAAAATGTTTAAGTTCTAGACACACAATAAATAATAAGTCAGCTTATTGGTTAACCAGATACAATTTCATTCTGTTGTCGACACACTTTGAAGTTCATTAAAAAAATATAAATTGTAAAGACAAACAGTTAAAGATACATTGTATACCTATACAATTTTTTTTATTACTATTTGTTACCTATACATTTAACACGGGCATTAAATTCTCACCATATTCCATAGAGCAGTTAAACTATAACATAATTCATAAAGAAAACTATTATAATCAATTTAATCCCAAAGAACAGATTGATTGAAAGAATCTATAACTCCTGATGGAACTTTCAATTTAAATTTGTCTTCCAGTATATATTATTTACAACTTATACCTAATAGAAAAAAGATGAATGTAAATATTATTATAGCTGTTAGTTTTTTTTGTCAAGACATTCTTATAATATGTAATATATCGAGTAAAACAAAGGTCTAAATATATGTATAAAGGCAATAAATATGTAAATAAAAAAAAAAATATAGTATTGAATATTCAAGTGAAGTGAGATGAAAATTAGACTTCAAACTTAGGTGAATCAATATACGTTTTGCCTGTTTTGGTAAACAGTAATTATTTAAAAAAGTATAAATTTGACAATTATCATTGAAAAAATAAACACGAATACATAAATATTAAATATGGGCTACAATAGAATGAAAAAAATAATAAAATCATTGTCAGTATAACTCATTTTGATAAATTACTTATAAAACATTTAAACATTTCATGTGAAAAATGTAAGACTTATATATACAATTTTTAACACATTTGTTAACTCATAACTATTAACTAAAAAATAGATATACTGTAAATTATAATAAAGAGAAGATCCAACTAAATTAACATTCAAGGAAGACCAATAAAATAGTAAATACTAAATATTGATTATTATCATTTAGAATATACTTACTTACAGTAAACATTATTTGCCTATTTGTAACTAGTAAGTAGTTAAGTAGTAACAACTAAGGGCCGATTTCATTTGGTGAAATCGGCCCTAAGTAGTCAGTAAGTACTAGCTATGAAGTTTGAACTAGGAAAATATTAAATAATGAGTAATAAGTGTATAGTCAAAACTCAAAAGTTAAAACTATTAACAAAGACAAACGCTACATAAATACATAAATCATATCAATAACGTATTAGTCGTTCTAATGTTCTATTTTTATAATATTAATTATTATACAGTGATTGAGTGATGATGATAAATGTAAATAATCGATAGCTAAAAGTAAAAATTATTATCTTGACGTTGGCAATACTCGCACACCAAGTATTAATTCAATTCTGAACTTTCTACTTCATACTTATCAGAACGTGTTTGACGCATATTTCGAATAATATTTTAAAATGTTATCATTATTCATAAATCATAATTCATAATTATTCGCATACTATTGCCAAGTGGCAAGTACCTGCTTGGTATTTACTATTTACAACTGTTTACGGAATAATGAGTAGTGAGTACGGATAAATGCTAAATGGGCCAAATGATAATTAATAAAAATGTATAATATATTAATCATTAAAAAGGTACTCTGTTGTTGTATATCTGTAACTTGTATAATACTGAATATTGAATATAATATAAGAACATAACAGATTAATTAATATAACGTTTTATTTAATCTGTGATAAAACGTTACATTATGTCACCGACTAATTCAGTACTCTACAGACTTAAGTCTTTACACATTACTGTCACCTTTTTTTTATCTGTGTTCAGTGTGTTCAAGACTATATTGACAATGTGACATTGGTAATTAATAATTTGTTGTGATGACTGATAATAACAGTGTGATTATACTTTGAGGGTGAACTACCGATTACATCGCACGCCGCAATATCGCTATTCGGCATTCGCTAATTCGCCAAGTACGTGTGATTGACGCAAATGTGAGTAACCGTGTTGGACGCCTATATCCTAGTAGTCTATAAAGTAAATTGAAATCGACGTGTCAATTATAAATATAGGAATAACGACGAAAACCTGAAACATTTAAGTTGGTACGAAAAATCTATATTATCGTTGTAATAAAATCCGATTCATAGCCGCGTATTTACTATACACATTTCAATTTTCAGTATTTCACACATTCACACAATCATACAACACGTGCGGAAGCGGAAAAAACTGGAGCTCTCGGACATTTTGGACGCAGTTCCGTGAACGGCATGAACGACGTTCATGATTCGGAAATTCGGAATTATGAAAAAAATATTTTGACAATCCTTTTTAAACTTGAACTACGTTTACTATTCACCATTCACAACGTAGGTAGATACTTTACACTTTCGAAGTGTATTAAGTTCGTAGGAAAATTATGACTGATGAGTTACCTTACCTGTAAATTTAGTGTCTAAACAAAACTCACTGTCATGGACACTTCCGTCGGTTTTTTTAGTATTTTCCTCGCGTTTTTTTCGATCGTTTATTATTTCGTGAGAACCAGATCGTTTGGAGGATTGATCGCCAACAGCTTGCCCTCGTCGACACCGTTGGTCACCGTCACCATTCCTCTAGTCCGGCAATCGGAAGTGCGCTTTGGATCACCACTGCTTCTGAATGATACTAATGGTAGCATATCGGCTAAAATTGTCAATAAGCTCCGTGTGTCGGTAAATCCGTTCACGCCGACTGGCATCGAGATATTGAAAAATAGAAAGAAACGCTTTCCAAGATCGAATAACTGCAACATCGCCAGTCCTGTGAGCGACGGCAGTGATGACTTCGGTCAGCTCACCCCACCTGGCAATAAATCACCCGTTTCCGCCCATCCGTCTGTTGTTAGACGTCTAATGATCAGTGGCAAAGTGACCAACGTCAGTATACATGAATTGCAGACGTCCCGATTTCACGAAGAGTTCAAAATAGACGAGTATATCGCCGCCGGTAGTTTCGGCGTTATATACAAATGTACAAATCTGTTTGATGGAATACCATATGCCATTAAAAAAATCAAACAGATAACGTACAAGAATTCGGGGTATTTGATTCGTAAAGAGGTGTACGCAAACTCGGCATTCGGACGACATCCAAATTTGGTTTCGTACTTTACGGCATGGTACGAAAGAGGTCACATTTATATTCAAACAGAATTCTGTCATGGCGGTTCCCTGGAATGCATGATTCACGAGTCTGATCATGTGTTTTGTGACAATGCTCTAAGACGAATGTTGATGCACGTGTGTAATGGTCTGGCTCACATTCATTCCAAAAAACTTGCTCATTTGGACATAAAATCAGCAAACATATTAATATGCAAAACCAATGGGGCATTGGTGTTTGCTAATGATCTAGACGACATTGAAGAAATAATTGACAAAAATATTGTTTACAAGATAGGTGACTTCGGGCATACAATATGTATTGAAGATGTCCAAAATATTGAAGATGGAGATTCTCGTTATTTACCTAAGGAATTATTATGTAACGATTATTCTCAGTTGCAAAAAGTCGATGTGTTTTCTACTGCACTTACAGTATACGAGGCTGCAACACGAAAACATTTACCTAAAAATGGACCAGAATGGCATCGTTTAAGAAATGGTGAGTTTTTGTTACCCCAAACTCCTTTTTTAAGTACAAGTCTAAAAAAATTGCTGACAAAAATGGTTGATTTAGATCCGTCTAATAGGCCTAGCGCTTCTAAAGTCGTAAATCTTTTGCTCGATAGAGGAATGGCAGCTACAAAAGATCAAGATAAAATTGAACCATTGAAATTAAGTGCTTAATTCCTTGCATCTTGGTTAATCAATTTAAAACCACCAGAAAAAAATTATCTGATACAGAAATATCTTTAAAGACTGACAGTTATAGAAAATTTGAAGACTATTAAACAGAAAAGAATACCTAAATTAAAAATATTAATCTTATAAAGTTTGAACTAGTAGATTTGTTTTAAATTTAAATTAGAAGTACAATTTTTAGTTTTTATTTCTTTATTCAAACTTAATTGTTATTCGTGACATTTTAAAAAGCAATGTTTTTAAAAAAAAATTGAGTGATTGGTATCATTCCTTAATTTGTTATTTTTATAATTATATTATTTTATTACTGAAAAGAGATGTCATTACATTTTCCAGAAATATTACTTATTTAAAAATCAAAACTTGAGCCATCTACAAAGAATTTTAAATTTTAACACTATTTTATGCAAAAATATTACTGTACCATAATTTTATTATTGAATTAGGTATACCTAATTAATAATTAATAATTATTTAATTAAATTATTTTATTATCATATATGTCTGTTTATTCATTTGACAGATTTTTTGTACCAAACATGATAATAATTATTGCTTTATCCTTTAAAGGTATATTATTTTGTACACACAGTGGATTGAATATATATTTTAGAGTTGTTACTAATTTAGAGCTAGGATTTTTTAATAACTTACATTTTTTCTTTAGGCACTATATAGTTCTAATCAACAAATACATTTGTTTCATTATATGAAAATTTAGAATGTGTAATTTTTATTTTGCATTTTATTATATTTCTAAGATAATTTTTACAAATATTACATTAATTTTATGTATTTAAACTCATTTTTGTTTATTTTAAGCTTTTTTAATATGTGTTGCATAAGTAATTCCAATTACCTATTTTAGTTTGTTGATATTGAAAAAGTAATATAATTAATTGTCAACTTAAATTCAAATATATTTGTTTAATTTACTTCTTAAAACAAATTTTTACCTATTTTGTGTAATATAAAAAATTGATAAATAATTGTTATTTATTCTAGTGCATTTTTTTATATTTTTTAGGTCATTAAAATCCTTGCTCTTTTAATCATTATTCCTACTGTCTAGTGTCTAATTAGATTTTATTATTTGACTCATTACAGCCGTCTACAGGCTTTTAGTTGATATCACAATTTATGATAATATGAACAATTATATTTTGTAGTTTACTTGTGGTTTGTACATCCACGAATTTGCTATTAAGTAATTTCTGTTGTATAATATATTTTAGTAAATTTAATACATTATTTACAAATTGAATATATTAAACTATAATAATGTAGATGCCAAAAAATGAATGAAATTGACAGTTATAGTTTATAATAATTTAGAAAGAAAAAAATTAATACCATTTATTCAATTTCTACTTAATGTATTATTTAATTATATTTTTTCTATACATTAGATAGTAATATTATGAAGAGGAAGTTATATCCACATATATGTTGTCATTAAACAGCAAATTTTGTATTTAAAATAATTGATTTTATTGTCATTTAAATTAGGTATTTGAGTAAAATGGCTTATCAAATTTAATGTTAAAAATATTGAAAGCTCTTACTAGCTATTTTTTTTTTGATATTTTAAATTTAAACCAAGTGAGCACTTAAAATTTTAATGATACTGATACATAATACATTAATACATATGCATAACTATTTCCTGTCCAGTCAAAAAGATGTGTGGATACTATTATATCTAGCTACCGAACCTAATAATCTAAAACTGGGTAATGTGAATAAAATAAAAAATATAAATTCATGACTATTTGTTACATTTTTGCTGATATTTATTAATTGTAACCAAATAATAGAAACAATTTTACCATTCTCGGATAAATTTGAGTATTATTTAATAAATACTAAGTAAACATAATACAAATTAATAAACTAATAAATAGCTTTATATTTTTCAAAATAAATTTAATTTAAATTATTTTTAGGCATTCAAACTTTTTGATTTATTTTATTTTATTTTTTTTTTTGATCAACATTTATAACCTTTATCAAGAAGGTATCGTAATAAATAAATAATTAAAGGAATTTAAAAATATTCCAAATGCATGAAAGAACAGAAATTATTTGTAGTTTAAATGATGATATACCTACATACTTAATGGTTAATGTTTGGTATAGATTACAAAATACATATTATAAATAACTACTTTGTTTAAGATAAGTATAAGTTTATACCTATATAAGACACAAACAGGAATAAAGCAAATAAAAAACTAATTGGTGCTAAAAATTATATATTTTTTATAATTAATATGTCATATAACAAATAGAGTGAAAAAATATGATTGAAATTCTTCATTTAATTTCAAAAGTTAATGTAATATTGAAAGAGGTAAACTTAAATAAATGGGAATAGAGTATGACAATTAATTTCAAGTGTGGTTCATTTGATTTATCCATTTACTGTATAACCTATGTAATAAAATATAATAATATATCTATACAACTATACATTAACAATAGCTTTAATCATTCATTTGAAAAGAAAATTGAAGTGTTTTTGCTTAGTAAATAGTCATTACTAATTAGTTGACACAATCAAATAAATAATTTAAAAAAGGTAAGCTTTATATTAATTGTTTCTTGACACTAAACATATCTATATAAATATATATATATATAACCATATTAAGTTCCTCCAACATAAATAGTTTGAGTTAGATGTAATTCTATGACTAATAAACTTGTGGTCATATTTTCAGATATTAGATTGTGTAATACATTTCTGTCGCAATCAAAAAGTTGCATCTGAAAACATGTTATTATTTATAGTAAAAGTTCAAAAAATTAGTTCTCAATTATAGAAGACAAATTGAAAGTGCAAAACATTAATTTTATTAAAATAAAATACAAAATTTATAATGACACAAAAAGATATTATTAATTTAATTTATAATTATATATTTATCTATAATTTATTTTATTCAGTCTATTATATTTTTCTTAAGCTTTAAAACATCCAAAGTATGATACAAATTTGATTCACACTTTCTTTACAAAAGCCTTAATTAAAGAGAAATCTAGGGGGGCATGATCTGAGAAACTAGAATTAAAAATTTATCAGAAACACTTGTAAATTGAAGTGAATTATTTTTTTATTTTTGAATAAGAAATTTCTTAAAATCCAAACGGTTTTCCTGTAGATTTAAATCACAATGATTTGGTATTTATTAAGTATGAACCAATCACGTTCATTGATATTGAGCATGTGTTTTAAAAAAACGCATAAATAATTTTTACATTTTTTTCTTAATAGTAAAGGAACCTAATAACTGATATCAATACCAGATGCAGTGAGCATTTTATATCTACCATATTATATCAGAGAAATCACTGGATGTTTGAGTACCTACTGAAATATTTTAGTTGCACTCTAAAATAGTAACCAAATAAAATGTAATTTTTACTTAATATTATGTGCCAAAAAAAAAATTAAAAATATATTATGGTATGTTTCGTGATATTAATTATAAAAATAAAAATATAAAGTGTGTAATAATTTTTAAATTTACACATAAAAACTTATTATTACCTATATTATAAAAGTTACAAGTTGTAGACTTAAGTTTAAATATTTTGAACAATTAATATAAAAACTTTTTTCCAAATTAGATTTAGGTAGTATTTGTTTAGATTGTTGAGAGTTGGAATTAAGGCATTTGATTAATATATAACATTATACAATGAGTGACCATCGATCATCTGTATATACTTGACCTCAGAGTTTACTTTTATGTAACTAAGAGAATTAAATAGAAGTATTTAATGGAATGTATAAAATTATTTTGCCATAAATATTTGTAATTTAATTAAATTATTAATTATTAAACATACCTACTCTTAGTAGCAATAGCATTGATGTAATAAAAAATGCATCTTCTCTTCCAGGATTCCATTTAGATTGAAAAATCATCATAAAATGGTCTCATAAATGGAATTATTTTTATGGGTTCTAAAAATATATTTGAATTAATATTTTATTCATATTGTTATCTAATTTGTTCTGGTACACCACAGGTTAGGTATACCCAATAATATAATAACTAGTTTCTAAACTTATTGGAGTATTTATTTTACTTGAACACAGTACTGTTGCTTTTTTTTTACATAAAATTGCTTAGAAAAATAATATTAATTTGAAATACCTAACATAAAAATTGATAAAAAAATGTTGATTGTACTACCATAATTGATCACAAATATATATTTATTTATTGAAATAAAATTATTTAAATTTACTGTTGAATCTTAATTATTTTTTTACATTAGATATCTGTTTTTAGAAATGTTTATGTTTTATTGATGGTTGAAATCTAATAGATAATAATAACTAAAAAAAAAAAAAAATATTATAAAATTATAAAAATTTAATTTTTGAACATGATAGTTGAAATATTGAGGATTAATGCTAGCAAAATCAATACATTATAATTCAATTTGTTCTGCTTTATCTAAAATTCAAGTGTAAGACTAAATAATTTTTATTTAACATAACAAATTTTCATACTTGCAAAATCATTGTATTGAAAATTATTAAAGGAAACCTTTAGATTTTTAACTTACTTTTAATATCTGAATTTAATTGTTCGATATTAAATATTCTAATTTTGTTAATATTACATGTTGTCATGTTGACACTACATTAATACTATATACAAAAAAATGAACTTATTAATATTTTAGAATGTTTAAGTTGTAAAACTAGATTAATTGATTTGTCATTCATATTTCTAATGTCTCATAAGGAAACCACTCTATAAGAATAGTAATAATTTATTGGTGAATAGAACAAATACATATTATCATTATATCATTAATGAAAGAAACATAATAAAATTAACCTGAAAATACATTTAAATGTTGTCATTTTATATTCATAATAAAATATTATAAAAGCAATTACCCAAGTTCAGATGAAGTTAAAAGTAATGTTTTTTTATTTGGCGACATTAAACTATACACATAGATTCTTCATGGTACCAGGAAGAGTTGATTTTTTTGTATAGTATTCGTATGTCAATCAAATCTACATGACCAGAAACTTAAACATTTAAAAAAATTAATAATTACAATTAATAAAACTTAATCTACCATGTATAACAATTAACATATATCA